ATCTATCTATCCATCCATCCATCCATCTATCTGTGTCTGTCTGTCTACCTGTCTATCTGTGTGTGTGTGTATGTATGTATACTTACATACATATATACATATATGGTGGAGGTATATAATGTATGTATATAACACGTATCGTGAGTGTTGTGTGTTTGGGTAGATAATACACTTTCTCATGAAAGCAGGCAACAGAATTTCATTTTCAATATGGGCCAGTGTACTCACAGAAAAAAAAAGACAATATTATTTATCTTTGGTCCTTTCCACCCTGTTACTCTATGTTCTGTGCTTTGTATTTAAATTGGCAAGCTGATAATACTGTTAATTAATATATTATCTCTGGGGCTGGTATCTGTTGAAATCAGGAACTTCTCTAGATGTCGCTAACTCCAAGTGCTCCTCACCAGAACATTATTACTTTTCTGGAGTTATCTAGGTGTTTTGCTAGATGGTACTCCCTCCCTCCCTACAACCCTACAACCTACCAGTTAGATGATGAGACCCAGTTAAGCAAAGAAATAAATGGTGTCTAGACTGAGAGGCATATTTTTACTTGTGATGATGAACAGCTCGAAATAGAGACTAGATGACCCATGACCTGTTATTTCAGAGATATTTCCTTACCAGATTCCTTGATGTCTTCATTACCCACAGAGCTTGTAATGTAGGGAACGGGACAATTTCCTGGTGCTTAAGTATTTTCAGAAACTGCCTTTCCCATTAAGCCTTGTTATATTGTAACAGCTAATGGTTCTTAGCAGTACACCCAGACTAGCAGGAGCAGCTTCTCTGGAGTGTTTGTTTGTTTGCTGGTACTTTTATTAGTTTGCTGGTGCCTTTTTTCAAGCTTTATACACTGCTTGGAGTTTACTTTTGGGTGTAATTCCAAGAGGCAGGATGCAAACTTGGCACTGATTTGTCAGTTGCCTGCTGATAGTTATTGCTGATGAAAAAAACGGTATTCAGACAGAATGGTTTAGGTTTCCATGATAACTGTAGCTATCATTAATCTTCAGTTTGTATCCCCCCATTTCTAATCTAATTGGTAATGGTATTTAAGGCAGCTGTTTGTAAGCAAAGAAGCATTTTGTATTTTTGTACAGGTAATCCTTGACTTACAACAATTCATTTAGTTACCATTCAAAGTTACAATGGCATCGAAAAAAGTGACGTGACAATTTTTCACACGTACGACTGTTTCACGAGAGGTCTTGACGTGAGAGATGTCGAGTTGGCCACACCCACCCAGCTACGCCTACGCAGCTGGTCATTAGGGCAGAGAACCAGTTGTTGAATTATTTGAATCCCACCACTGGTTCTCAACCTTTTCTTCACCACAGATTGGCTTAAAATACCTTTTGTGGCCACAGATCATGGACCCCCCATGATTTAACTCAAGATTTAAATCATAATATTTCTTCAACCCTCCATGGACCCCCTCTGACAAAATTGCAGGCCCATCCAGGGCTCCACGAACCACAGGTTGAGAACCACTGTCTTATGACACTTTGAATTATGTCATGAAATGTTTTATATGTTTTGCCAAATTTAATTCCACAGTAGTGATCTATTCTTGATTTTGGACACATTTTGTAAGTTAGCCCATTTGAGATATCTTGGTTCAAAAATTGTTGCCGTTAATGCTTACACACAAACAGGAGAGTAAAAAGTATTGTTTGTAAGCTGCCCAGAATCACTGGGTGAGCAGGCAGCCATATAAATTTTCTAAATCAAAAAATCAATCAACCATAAGTGAGGAACACCTTGTTTTTGTATTTATTTGTCTGTCAGCAGTGGCTTAGCAAAGGAATAGTTGGGCCTGGTGTTTCATTTAAGTCAGATAATTCCATAATTGGGAAAAGACTGGGAGGTTCCACTTGGCAGTACAGCCTAAAGTTTGGCTGAGCGGCTTGCATTCCTGCCTGCTGAAGTGATTCTTCCATGGTATGTACAGCCGAAAGACATCCTGGATTGTGATTCTCCAGAAAGCATCCGGAACCTGAGGTTAGAGGACTGCCACCCATGTGGATCTGAATACCAGAAATATCAGTGGATTATTGAGTCATCTTTCCCCCTTTTTTGCACGTGTTAAAAGGAGAATGTCATTGGACTAGTTTTGGTGAAGGGAAATCTGGTTTTGTGTTTTATTTACTGCCTGCTTGTATGAATTTGCTTCCCCCCCCGCCCGCTTCAGCTTTAGGTAGCATCTTCTCTCAGATGGTTACATCTGAAAGGTAGTGTATTGGAGAAGACAGCTGTGTTTTTTTAAAGACCTGGCTCCCTTCTCGCTGACCATGGTGGCTGGGAGTTGAAATCCAACTTAAATACATCTTAAATTGGCAGTGGTTGAGAAAACACTGCTGTAGCATCTTGTCTGTGGTCCAACATTCAAAATATAGGAAGCCAGCAATTACCAGCCTTTCTTTTTGTATAGCATTAACATTGACCAGGCAGTTTTTTTCTGTCAGCATCCTTTTATTTATAATGTATATTTTTCAACAGCTAGCGCAAAGTAAGATTTTGTGGGGAGGTTTCTGGAGCACATCCAACTAGGAGGAAAAATTTGTTCTTTGAACTGTTGACAGGGTGATAAAAATTAAAGAAAAAAAGACCTGGAATCCTCTTCTTTGGTCTTTTAAAACTAAGATATAGTTAGTCCTCGACTTTCAATCAAAATTGAGCCCAAAATCTATATTGTTAAGCAAGGCAATTATTAAATGTGTTTCCCCCGTTTTATGATCTTCCTGCCACAGTTGTTAAGTGAATCTGCAGTTGTTAAGTGAATTATGCAGTCATTAAGTGAGTCTGGATTTCCATTATTAACTTTGCTTGTCGGAAGCTGGTTACAGATGGTGATCACAGCTATCTTAAATACATGCCAGTTGCCAAGCACCCAAATTTTGATCACATGACTGTGGGGATTATTGCAATGATTGTAAGTGTGAAAGTTGGTCATAAGTCCTTTTTTTCCACAGGGCCATTGTAACTTCAATCACTAAATGAATGGTTGTGAGTGAAGGAATGTCTGTATATGTAGACTAACAACCCAAACAATAGCTTGCTACAAATCAATTGTAGAGTTATCATTGTAGTGCGGTCTAATATTTCTTTTGGTTATGTCTAAAGCATGAAGGCGCGTAGCCCTTGACTGTAAATGGAGGCCTTATAGTAAGTTTCCTGGCTTATAAATAATGGCATGGATTTCAGCAATAATTGGACAGGCACACACAACCCGCAATTAGGGTTGATTCATGGAGTTCTCGGTTCTTTCTGTGCTTGGTTGGTTTTTTTGCAGACATTTCATTACCCAAACTAGGTAACATCATCAGTGCTAGTAAGGAATGGGGTTTGCTCTCAGTTTATATTTGGTTTGCCCTGGGCTGGTCTTAGAGGTTCTTTGGTTGGGTTATTTACTGTTGCTTGTTTGGCAATTTCTTGATTTGGGTATTGTTTATTTGATTGTTGGACTGATATTAATCTTGGTGTCAATCAATGCTCATTTGATTGCTGGTGGAGATGTGCTGAGGTCTCTTTGTTCCCCCTTTTGACTTGTTGATTATCTCTTTTGCATAGTTTATGTCTGTGCTTCAGTCTAGGATGATCACAGTTTCCTGTAATTAAGAGCTGATTCAAACCCATTTTCCCTCCCTGCTATAGCCTACATCCAGAAGTTCCAAAAAAATTAGAAAAATGCTCAACAGTTGAGAACTTGGACAAGTAGGAGAGCTATTGTCCTTCTGGTACACAGTAGTGATGCCAACAATCTGAGGGGGCAATTGCATGAAAGGCAGCAATGATCCATGACTGTTAGTTCATTGCCTTTCTATTTGGAAATTGCCACTTGGAAAGTCAGTGTATTTCCTAGACATGGTGCATTCGAGTGGTTTGGGTTTTTTTTCTCTTTCCCCACTTCCTTCTGGAATATAGTCTCAGGGTCCTTCCTTTTTCCCATATGTGACACGTGTGGTTCTTAAGGTTGCTCATGAATTCATATTCTTAATCTCCACCCAGGGAATCTACTATTTCTGCTTTTGTTGATTTGCTTCTTCCACTCATTCCGATTTCTTGTAGTCCTGATGTGTTCTTTGGTTCTCCCTTTCCAGAGCAGATGAGGTTGACTAGCAAAAACCAGATCTATCTGGTGACAGGAGGTTGTGGTTTCCTGGGAAAACATCTGGTTGAAATGCTTCTGGAAAAAGAGCTCAGCCTTGCTGAAATACGGGTCTTTGATTTGCATCTGGATGAAAGTATGCGCAGTTTGGACAGAGGTGAGTCAGTCCATTTCTTCTATCCACAAGGAAAGTGTTGTTGACCTGATCATTGGTACATGCTCATTTGGACTAAATCATCCTTACCTCTCTGAGTTCTCACCCTTTCTCTGAAGAATTGTTCATTTGCATCTCCAACCGAGCCAAAGAGATCCCAGAGTAACTCTGTTTCTGAGTTTGGGACTGAAGCTCCACTTATTATTTCTCTGTGTTCTTTGTTCATAGCAATTTGTCTGTTTGTTTGTTTGTTCAGTCATTAAGTCGTGTGACCCCTTTTTGTGACCCTATGGACCATAGCATGCCAGGCCTCCCTACCCTCCACTGTCTTCATGCTCATGTTCATCGCATCAATGATGCTATTTAACCATCTCATCCTATTCCCTGCCCTTTTGCCTTCCATCTTTCCCAATGAGTCTTCTCTCTCCTCATGTGGTGGCCCAAGTATTTGAACTTCAGTATCTGTTGTTCCAAAGGACAGTCAAGGTTGATTTCCTTCAGATCGACTGATTTGATCCCCTTGCAGTCCAAGGGACCCTCAAGGGTCTTCTCCAACACCGGGATACTTCAATTTACGACCTCCTGCATTCTAGCCTGGTGCCTTAACCATTAGACTAAACTGGCTGCCTAACAATTATAGAGGCACATCTCCAACAAACAAAACAATAATTATATCCAGGATCCCTTCTGCTGACTGCTGCCCAATACAAAAGGGTCTCTGTGTTCCAATACTCCTGGCGTGAGTGTGATAATACCATAGGGATGGCAGCATTAAAGGGGAGGCATTTTTTAAAAATTCTATTTTGTGTGTGACTTATCACTGTGCAATTTATTTAGACCCTTCATTTCTAATGGTTTTAGGCAGGGGTGGGCTGCTACTGGTTTGCACCAGTTTGGACGAACCCGTAGCTAATTTTATGGCTGGTTCGGCGAACTGGCAAATCCTACCCCTGGCTGGCCCCACCCACCCCTCCCCTCCCAAGAATCCCCACGAAGCCTATTTTGGATGCCAGGTAAATACAATGCCTGTGCAGAGGCTTGGGGAGGGTGAAAAACGGGCCTCCCAGAAGTTTCGGAAGGCCCATTTCTGGCCTCTGGAGCCCAGGGAAGGCCGTTTTTGCCCTCCCAGAGGCTCAAGGGAAAAGCCCAGGGAGGGGGAAAATTCCCCCACCCCCAGCTGTGTTGCAGGATGCTGACTAGGCCACGCCCACCATGGCCATGCCTACCCAGCAACTGCGCAGAGAGCCCCTTGCTAAAACTCTTGAAGCCCACCCCTGATTTTAGGAAGCAAATGATGTTTGTGAACTCATAAGACATTTGAACCAAAATCAGGATCCTTTGTAACCCAAATTGCTGGTTTAATACCAGTATTACTTGTCATTGCTTTGCAATGAGGAAGATGTCTGTAGGTCATTCTCCCTTCTTTCCAGTTATTACTTGTTTATATTGATACCATTTGTTCTCTGGAAAGAGCCCGGGGCAGAGTACAAAAGGAAAAATAACATTAAAACAACCTTCAGTAAAAATAACTCAGTAAAACACTCAACACTAAACCTATCTGGCTTTTAAAAAATCTGTAAAAACTATAAAAATATACCGTACCTATTAAAATAGAATTTGCTTTAAAAAGGCAATCTGGTTCTTGAGAAGTTGTTATTCTATCATATTATTCCAGATTCTTTTACACAGCCCTAGGTTAATATAAGCCCTAATTTTTATATAAGTGAAAAAATTAAAAACTTTTCCCACCACTCTTGATGATGAGCGTATGTTTTATAGTCAATTAGACCAAACAATGCTAATTTCCTTTAGGTTTTTGGCTGAGATCCTATTCCTTAAAGGATGCATGCCTCTTCAGATCCAAAGATCCTCATTTTTTGGTTAAAAAATGTAGCTGGTTTCATTTTACTCTCTCTTCAAGCAGTCTCTTCAAAAATAAGCTTACGAGTAAAATCTCTATATGATTTATAGCTTGTAGACATAAAAATGCACACTGGCGGCCAATAATTCATTTTTTCCCTAGTGCCTGACCTTTGAATCACTTTGGCACAGCCGAAATTGGCATGTTGGGGCATATTTTAAAAGAAATCTTATATTTAGAAAATGGTAACCTTGGAAAGATAGTTGCAACAAACCAAAACCCTACTGGCTTACTTGAACAAGGGAAGATGCAAAAGAGTTCATTTGGCCCTCAGTAAATATGTGTTTTAATCCTCCTACCCAACTGGGTTCAGTGGGACCAGTTTCAAGTGAACCTAGGCCTGTGTTTGTCAACCTCAGCAATTTTAAGATATATGGGCTTCAGCTCTCAGAATTCCCCACCCAGCATGGGATCTTGACAGACCTGAACCCTGGGCCTTATTTAACAAAATGAAATTTAATGTGGAGAAATAAGGATTTTATACTGAGGCAGGAAAAAAAAAAATCAAAGGTAAAAGTACAGATTAGGTCAGGGGTGTTAAAATCAAGGCCCAACTAGTTACCTGATCTGTCTGACCCATGGAGTGCTTAGATCCAGCCTATAAGGCCACCCTGGAAAGAACAAAGGACCTGCCTGCAGTGCCTCTGTCACTGAAAATGGGGAGGGGCTCTCCCCAGCTCCCTTTTCGCTCTGGCAGAGGACTAGCAAAGCAAACTAACACCACCACCACCCCAAAAAGGAGAACTGTTTCCCTTGTTTAAGCATGCAACAAGGGACAGGAAAGGAGACAGGGAAAGGAGACAGGGAAAGATGAAAGAAAAAGAAAAAGAAGGGAAGAGGGGAAGAGAGCAAGGAAGGAAAAATGAAAGAGGGGAAGGAAGAAGAAAGAAGAATGAAGAGGGAAGGAAAAAGAAGAAGGAAGGAAGGAAAGAAGAAAGGAAAATTATAATTAGAGTGAGGGAAAGTCTGAGGGAAGTCCTGCCTTAGCACATGGCCACCACAGGTGACCCTGACACATGCCCACACTGGCCATGCCAACCCCACCCCTTGAGGTCAAATACAACCCTGATGTGGCCCTCAATAAAATTGAATTTGACACCCCTGGATTAGGTGAAACTTGGCTCAAGTTTGGTTGATGGTTGGTGGCCATAAAACAAAAACAAATAATTGTGAAAGGGACTTGGAATCCTAGTAGAGTATTACTTAAATATGAGCAGTGTATGGCAGCAGCTGAAAAAGCTAATACAATTCTTGGTTGTATAAACAGGGGCATAGAAGCAAAATCACCTGAAGTATTATTAGTACTGCTTCATAAAACCTTACTAAGGCCACACCTGGAATCCAGTTTTGGTCACCACATTACAAAAATATGTTGAGACTTTGAAAAAAGTGCAGAGAAGAGAACTAAGATGATTAAAGGCCTAGAGACCAAAGCATACGAAGAACAGTTGCAGAATCTGCATATGGCCAGTCTAGAAAAGAGAAGGAGTAGGAGTGTCATGATAGCAATATTTCAGTATTTTAGTGGCTGCCAAAAAAAGGAGATCAACTTATTTTTCAAAGCACCAGAGGGCAGGACAAAAATCCATCCATTGTTTTGCAACGGATGGAAACTAATCAAGGAGAGAAGCAACTTGGAATTCAGGAGAAACTTCCTAACAGGGAGAACAATTAACCACTGGAACAGCTGGCCTTCAGAAGTTGTGGGTGCTCCATCACTGGAGGTTTTTAAGAAGAGACCGGACAGCCACTTGTCTGAAATGTTAAGGTCTCCTGCTTGAGCAGGGAGTTGAATTATAAGTCCTCCAAAGTCCCTTCAGCTCTATTTTGATTGAAAGAGAAATTCATGAAGGATATCTATCAAGGGTTGTTGGTCTTCAGGTTGGTGGCCATAAGCACTACTTGTAGAACAAGGTGAAAAGAAGAGTATCTCTCCCCCGCACTCAGTTGTGAGAACTGTGAAGTATTTGTTTGTTTTCTCTGAGAAACCATAGGGTGGACCAAGATGAGTCTTGGCCTGAGACAGTATAACTATTTTAAAATTCTTATGGTGGAACTCCTCTTCAGAATATGCATGCTTATAACTCTAAGCTATTTGATATGTGAATAAATAAGAAGAACCAACATTGAGTTTATGGTTAAGATGGGTTGGCAATGGAGAAACTCCAGGCTTCAGTCATGGAAGTTTGGGGTGTTATCCAGCCCAAGAGATGTCTTTTCCATAAAAACAGCCAAGTAATATCTTCATCACTGAACTGCCTTTTGGCAACCTCACAGCTGCTGACCAGCTGTTAAAAACACAATGATATCCTGAGATCTGCTCTAAAGTATCTTAAGAGAGTTTGGTCATGCAAGGAAGTGCCTTGCCCTACTTGAGGGTCATGCAAGGAAGTGCTTTGTCCTCCTTAGGACCTTTGTGATAGAACACAGAGAAGAAAACACAAAGCCAAGCCAACAGCAAATATATGCGTGCATATGAGCGTCAGGGCTAAAAAAACATATGGTTGTAGTTTGCTCCCAGACACACGCCTGGCCTGCGTCCTTCAACCAAACCCTTTTTGACAAAGTATTTTTGGCAAAGTGCAAACCGTCTTCAATAGCTACCAACTCTGTGGAGAGATGATAAATGGGAAGAGGGGAAAATATGGGCAATACAATTTTTCTGTAAGGATATTGCCAGGATCAATGACCAATAGGATTGGCTTCAACTGAGATGGCGTGAACTCACATTTGGACTCCTTCCTCTTCTGGTTTTGCTGTAAACCAGTTTGGTCTCAGTCCAAGACAAGCTGTGATCAGCCTGAAAAATGTATTTAACTCTGATTCAAGGAAGCGAAGCCCATTAAACTCCATCAACTTTGCAAGATTAAAATGGCTGAGTAAAGAAATTGCAGCCCAGGATGCCTTTTGAGTCAATATTCAATGCTGTAGCCTTTAAATTAAATTATACAATGTAATATGTCATCATTAGATACCTCTTTGTTTGCAAACAGTTGGCTTATGAACACACACAATATGTGCATGGCCCAGAGGCTTGTGAATGCTGACCGGATGATCATGCATCCCATTGTGTGCCATTTCC